CTTTCAAATGCATAGTAATCAATCCTTCTTTCAGTCCTACAATGTCTCCCAATTCTCAATCCCCTCCATTTGTCCGTTCCTTCAACACATGGAAATCGATAAGCAAAATAGATGCAATTCTCTTTAATCAACTCTCGAGGGATGTGAGGAGCAACACCTGACGACAATGCAAGAGTCTTCCAATAGCCAACAAATAACACAAGACTTCCCAAGGTTTTAACCTCAGTCCAACAAGGTTTGTCACTCATGTCCCTGAACACTTTGGTATCTACAATCTCGGGCGGATTGGCAAACTCAAATTTAAGGTTCTTCACTTTCAAGCGATGCTTATGAATCAAAAGAAAGGAGATCTTTCTATGAGATACTATCTTACAAACCTCAAGTCTACTTGTGATCATTTAGCAATGCTTGGTCATCGTGTTGATGAACGGTCACACATTTCTCATATTCTTCGTGGTCTCACTACAAAATATGAGCCTATTATAGCCCTAGTAAATTCAACTATTGCTAGCTTTGATCTTCAGACTGTATCTACTATGTTGACGCAGAAGCTCGACAAAAAGCTTTTCTACTCAAGCTACTTCTGTATAAGTGTACCTGACTTCTGTTGACCCATACGCTGCCTATAACTCCTCTGGTGATGATACTGCTGTTATGGCATCCTTCGTTACCTCTAGTGCTGGTCATGGTGGTTTTCATCCACTTATTCCTCCTTCTCGGGGTGGTATGGTCATAGCTGTGGTCGATCTTTATTAATTCAACAACCTATGTGTTAAATCTGCTTTTATCTTGGTCACATGGCTGACAGGTGTTACTTTAGGTTTGATCACTCTTATGTCTATACTCCTTAACCTAATGCTCGAGCTTATTATGTTGTTGCTTCCCCTAATTATAGCATGGTAGTACCTGCCTCAGATTCTTTATACTCTTAGGCTTACCATCCTCCTCTGTGTGTCTTGTTTTATCTAACATTCCTAGTGTTGCAGTATCTCCTTCTCTTGCTGCTTCATCTCCTTCATAGGGTTCTGTCTCTTAAAGTATTCCATTTCTATAGGCTCTTGTGGCCACTGCTAATATTGTTTTCTAATAATGCATGGTATATGGATTCTAGAGCAACACAACATTACCAAGGATCTATCTCAGCTATAGAACTCCGAGCCTTATTTTGGCTCAGGTAATGTTTATGTTGGAAATGGAAATCCTAAACCTATTGTTTCTATAGGATAGTTAACTTTTGGCACTTCAAATTTGAATCTATCTTGAGTTCTTTGCGTGCCTTCTATGACTAAAAACCTCTGTTCAATTTCTCAGTTTACAAAAGATAATGATGTTTTAGTAGAATTTTTTTCTCATGCATTATTAGTAAAAGACTTGCACACTCGTCATCCATTCTTACATGGGCTTGAAGTGAATGGCATGTACCCTATGCTGCAAATGCCTCCATCACATTCCATTTCAACACCATTTTGTTTTCAAGCATCCTCTTCAGAATCTTTAGATATTTGGCACCATCATCTTGGACATCCCTCTACTGATGTTCTCAAACATGTTCTTCGCATTTATGATGTACCTTACTTATAAAACTCTAAGCTTTCTCCCTGTAATGCTTGTTGTTTAGGGAAAATCCATAAACTACCTTTTAAGGCTTTTACTACTGTGTATGCTAAGCCTTTTCAACTTGTAATAAATGATATTTGGGGCCCTGATCCTATTGTTTCAAATGGGAACTATTACTATCTTACTTTTATTTATGCATGTACTCCGTTCACTTGGATATACTTACTCAAAAAGAAATCTGAAGCACTCTCTATTTTTTGTACTTTCAAAGCCTATGTTAAAGTACATTTCAATAATTTAACAGTTACAAACTGACAATGGTGGTAAATTTGTGGTATTCACAAAATTTCTCTCTAAATGTGGTATTCAACATCGTTTCACTTGTCCTCATACATTTGAACAAAATGGACTTGTTGAACGTAAGCACAAACAAATTGTTGAGGTTGGCTTGTCTCTTCTTGCTCTTGCATCTCTTCCTCTTTATTATTGGCCAGACACTTTTACAACCACTATCTTTACACTGATGATGCTATACCAAACATTGTCTTTAAGGAATTATCTCATCCAAGTGGGCTCAAGCTGTTAAGGATGAATACGGTGCTCTGCTGCGTTTCAAGACATAGACACTGGTTCCTCTTCCTAAAGATCAAAAAACTATTGGTTGTAAGTGGCTTTTTCGATGCAAGTCTCCCACTCAATTCAAAGCTTGCCTTGTTGCAAAAGGCTATTTCCAAGAACTTAGAGTTGACTAGAACATATATGGACACACATACAGGTCTTGATATAATCGTTTTGTAACAAGAACTTCAATGATGTGATCTCACAAGATAACCCTTTAATGATATGGCAGTCCTTCATTACTAATTATTATTTTATTCTCTCTCATCAATTGTGAATGATCTAAACAAGTTACATTTAACCCAAATGATCTAAACAAGAAATTATGTGTTCAATTTTTGAAAAGTTAATTTCTAGATTCAATCGTTGTGGGGTTTCTTATTTAGCATTGTCCCTAGAATGTTATAAATATGTTGAGATAGTCATGTCCTTCAAGTTTAATTTCTTCATTAATACAACTTGAATGCTATGATTCATGTTCTTTTTTCATGTAACTATTTGATTAGGTTAGATTTAAATATTATTAGTTGAATCTAATTGAAAGCAGCCCTTCAAAAATGTTTTATCTCATGTATAACTGTGTTATATATTGAGTTGCGACTTTTAGAAATTTTACAATCGATACCTTAATTACATGTTATATTTAGGCACTTTCTTAGAGTTATTCTTGGATAAACATGTCATTTTTTCACTTGACACACACACACACACTAAAATTTAAATGATATAATATCCAAAGTTATTGTTATGAATGGTTGTTATGTCAAAATTTGAGAATCTGTTGTAAGTTAAAAAAAACTTTTGTTCATTTTCAATCATCATATGTTATTTTAGCTTTCATTAGTCTTTGGCAATTCAATTCCCCTAATTTTGTTTTTAAAAAAATTGTCATTGCAATTTGGATGTTATCTGCTCCTAACCATCTTAATTACTTCCATAAATTGATTGAACCTTGTGAACTAATATAAAACCCAAAAACTCGATTCACCCAAAAAAAAAATCTCATGAAAGTGAAATTATTGTTATTACCTTTTGGATGATATTTATATATAGCACCTGTAACAATACACTGCCAAAAGCTAGCAACCTTACCACAACCCCTTAACACATTTAAAATAGACTCATTTTGCTTGCAAACAGAACAGGAGGGAGATGAACCCCATCTTCTGAACCTTAATTCACTAGTGTGCAAACTATTATTAGCCACAAGGCACAAAAACACTTTAATCCTCTCAATTCTTGACCATCCCCATACTATTCACAAAATCTTGTCCTTCAACCCCCATGAATTTTCCATCAGCAATTTATAGCCACTCTTAACTGTATAATCACCTTGTCCCCCAACCCAACAGATTTTTATCTCTTCTATCACTATTATCAGTTTTCATCACAGCATGCAATCTGCATCTATCATCATTCGACATATACTTCTCAATGTCACTTCACCACTCACCAACCTCATTAACTGCATCACACACCCTCCAACCCCTTAATTCTGGAGGCACATCCTGTAAAATAGTATCGGCTAGCTTAATTTTCTGATTAATCCAACAATTATCCCAACAAGAGTTACTTTCACCATTCCTCACTTCTACCCACCAATTTCTTCTTATATATCCCAAACAGAAGCTAAATATTTACAAAACCCAGAATCAGCATTCTTCACCACAATATCATCTGAAAAATTTTATCAGCATAGCCTATCAAAGTAACTTCTTTAACACAATACTAGATATCCGAAGTTATTGCTTCGCCTTCTTCTTCCGCTTACCGAAAGTGAGACAAATGTGAGAGTGACAGATAATATAGCTATTGCTGTGAAAAAGATGATAGACATGCACCTCAAATTGATTCTATTGGATCAAGTAACTTCTCGTATCTTTAATATGCACACTCATAATTTAAACCAGCATTCTTAAACAATATCTTTGACTCTTCGTGTCTTGTTAGAAATTTTATATTGGTAAAAGCACTTCATAGCCCAAAAAATCCTATTGGTATTATCTAAATTTCTCTTGAATACATTTAACAGGTTATTCAAGGTTTTTCGAGAGTTCTTCCTTTAAAAGAAGAACTAGATGAGTCTTTTGCTGTTTATGGATGGACCCATAAAATTGTAACGTCTATGGATCAGGTAATTGATTGTTTTCAAGAACATTCTAATTAATTGCTCTCTTCACTTTATTTTTTGCACCCAAATGGTTTTACTCTCTTAAAATCTGGACCCTTGTATGTTTCTTAAATGTTATTCAGGTGCATGATATAGTCCCTCGGATATTAAATTTGCTTACTCAAGTTTCACTTTCACCTGTTGAGCCATTGGATGCCAAAAAAAAAAAAACGGGTAGCTATAACCATTACTCATCAAGAAAGATTACTTGCAGCCTCGTGAAATTGCAGCCTTGCAAAGTGATATCCCTCTTTCTAAAAGATAAGTTATATAAACTTGCTGTCTTATATTTCGCACCTAATATTCGCACTTTACGCTGTAGAAGTAGACTAATTTGTTATGGGTGTGAAGCACGCTTTACGTTTGATGAGAGACATGGTGTCTCTCAAACTGATTTTTGAACCAATTTAGGTCTGCATTGCACATGTTTTTTTCAAGAGGTGTAATTTTTATATTTGATGCAAATTAAGCAATATGATGACAAATGAAATAGGAGCCAAAATAGATTCTAATTCAAAGAACAATATGAAATGTGCAAGTAAAAAAAAAACACAAGAATAGATATAGATCACCTGGAAGACAATAACATTTTAGACAATAATAATGTTTCTCGCATAAGAAAATATCTCCAATAATACGTATCACGTTAGAGTTATCAAAGATTTGGTATGAACCAAGCAGGATATGGCACGTCAGTAAAACTTGATTTTTCAAATCCATAGTATTCAATCCTTCTTTCAGTCCTACAATGTCTCCCAATTTTCAGGCCCTTCCATTCATCCGTGCCTTCAATACATGGAAACCGATAGGCAAAATATATGCAATTCTCTTTAATCAACTCTTGAGGGATATGAGGAGCAACACGTGATGACAATACAAGAGTCTTCCAATAGCCGACAAATAACATAAGACTTTCCAAGTTTTCAACCTCAATCCAGCAAGGTTCGTCACTCATGTCCAACTTGTACACTTTACTGTCTACAATCTCGGGCGGATTGGCAAACTCCTTTGTCTCATAGCCCCCACAATTGTATGTAAAGAATGCGGTGTAATACAGGTAAATAAGCAATAGTTCTCCGGATGAAGAATCAACAGCCAAAGTCCTAAGAATGTGATCATTAGCTTCTATTAAGTACCTAGGGGGAACTATCTCAGTCCTAATAATGTTAGGCATTACTAGAGGAAGCTTAGCTAATATCTCAAGTTTTAGAGGTTGTTTTTTCAAGTCATAAGAAATTAAAGAATCTTTAGATGCATTGGTGAAAGCATACAATTTTCCATGGAGAATCTCTACGTGCATGAAGTTGATTCTTGTCATAGGATCTTCAACGACTATAGTCCATGACTCATCAGAAGTCCATTTGAAGGCAAAATATTCTCGAGGTAAAAGATACATACCACAACACAGTTTGGGTCATTGGGATTTGTGGATGCCACAATTCTTTTAACTTTACTTTTCACTTTCAACCTTGATGACAAGTAAACCTTGGCCTTTGTTACCGGGTTAAAGAAGAAGATCCGAACATCAGTTTCAGGAACATTAAAATAATCGTGGGAAGCTTCAATCATGATCATCCAACCTTGTACTGTGCCGTAGCAATAATGGATGAATTCGAGTGGTGGCACTGTATAGTTGAACTGGAAGACACTTGCTGTGGGCAAGACAAAGAACGGAAAGTTTTGGCTGGCCATTGTTTGAAGATAAAGAAGTGGCAGTTCAGGCTGTGGAAGGCACTGCTTCTTGGCAATGTATTTAGTGACAATGGACTGCCAACCTGAGCATACAGCTCGGCTTCGAAGGTAATCACTAAGGCACAAGCGTTCGAGAATCAAGCCCAAGATATCATCTCCCACTTGTGACCACTTACTGTAACATATTCCTTCTTCTTTAATGTTTGTTGCTCTTCTCTCATCATCAGTCATATGTTCCTTTTTTTCACTGTTGCTGCTAGCTGCTTCTTCGATGTTTATGTCATCATCTTCTGCAATTAGCATCTTTTGATCGTTGTCGCTTCCTTCTTTTTCTTGTTCTTCTTCTTCACCATTTGTTGCCCTTTAAAAAGGTGGTTTTGTTAAAAAAATATGTGAACTAACATGAAGTGATGCATAACAATGTATAGTTTCAATTGTTTCTGTTAGTGTCGATGAACAAAATTATGTTTGTAATTAATCATATCATGCAAATGAAATTAAAGAAACTAATTTATAGCTTCTAAAATTTAAAGAAGTAATTACCTGGTGTGAAGATGCTGTACGATTGGCCATTTACACACACAATTAAAACACTGTTCTATGTGCTCCCTCCATGTCCGTTTGCTGCCTCTACTTTCTTCTTTTTGGCCGTTCATTATACTTCAAAGTAAAGGAAAGATATAACCCAAAAAAACCAATATATCATATTCGGTTAAAATATTAAAATGCGATTATTATTTAGTGATTTTAGATTTTATAATATTTTAGTGGATCTAAATTTATAAAAAAATAATTTTTATTTAGTTATTGTGAAATTTATTATATGTATCTTCACATTTATGGCATTCTTTTTTTTCCCTCTCATATACCTTTCATGTGCTTTACCTATAAGATTAGTTTGATGAAAAGAACTGAGACAGAAGAAAAGGAGGCAACAACAGACTACAGAAAACAATGAACGAACCAAACATACCTTGTGCGTTCCCTCATCTTCTTCCTCTCTCTGCAATTCTGATGTCTCACAGTCCTTGTTTCAGTCTTAGTCTCTGGATCTACTTTTTCTTTCAAGTCTCTCTCTCCTCGCGCTTTCTTCCTGTTTGGCACAGCTATTGCTTTAGTCACCCAAAATATAATCTGCTCTTTGCCCAAATCTTTTTATTTATTTCTTCGCTTCTCATTCGGAATGATATTTTGCAATATCCTGCCAGAATAATTCTCTACATATTCTTCTTATTTATGATTTATTTTCCTTTTCACACTTATTTTTTGTCTCTTTATTTTACAATAATAAATAAAGAAATAAAAATTAAAGATGCGTAACAAAGTATAGTTTCAATTCTTTCCATTACTGTTGATGTCTTGATGAGCAAAATTATGTTTGTAGTCATATATCGTTCAAATGAATTTAAAGATATTAATTTAATTATAGCTTATAGAATTTAAATAAGTAATTACTTGGAGAGAAGACGTTGTATGATTGGCAATGTACATAGATGCTCCATGCATGTGCGTTTGCTGCCACTACTTTCTTCTTTTTGGCCGTTCTTTATGCTTCAAAATAAAGGAAAGATAAATAAAACCCACAAAAAGCAATATATTATAAATTATTGTTTACAGGTCAGGTTACCAATAACAGATATTTTTTAGCATCTTCACAAAATTATCTAAGGAGACCCATAAATTCAAACAGTAGAAAGATGGTTTAAAGATAAATTTAAGAACTCAACCAAGGCCCACAAGAAAGTGAGAGTGGCTTAGAACTCAAAGAAAGAGAGAAAACACTATCAAATATAGCTACTATAATTTGAACATTATGGCTGGCTTTATAACTCTTGTAGTGAGTAGAATTAATAGAAGAAGCTACTATTGTGTTTTATCTTTTCCGTAGGATAGGCTCAGCAGCTAAAGAGAGAAAACACTCCCAACATGGAAAAAAGAAAACTGTTATTCTTGCTTGATACTTCAATATAATTAGAGGAAGACTATTTAGATTAGTTTAGGGGGCACACATGACATTAATTATAAGTATTTGAGCACGCGAACTAATTATGAAAGTTAAAAAAATAGATATAACGTAACTTTTAATTCCTTAATAGTATGAAATGGAGAGTATACGTTCCATACATTTCCAGGGAGAATGAAGATGAACTACGAGTCCACGGTACATAAATTTACATCCCAGAAAATTCACCCCTTCAAAATCAAATAATTTCAGCTTCAATTGAAAAATTCAAATTAATTTTCATGGTTCAGATAAAATTTATATACTCCCCCCATTCGCCGTTAAAAAAGTAGTTATTATCTTCAACCTAACATTATTTTTTTATATTTACCCTTATTTACTTAAAATAAATATAAAGTGATATATTTATTGGGAAGACTTTTGAAAAAAATACAATAATTATACTTAAAATACTAAAAATATCTTACATTTTTTAACATTGAACCTTCCAAAAAAATGCTTTATATTTTTTGATGAAGAATATATATATATATATATATATCTATATAGATTACTAAAAAAAATGTGAAAGGGATCTTTGATCATGCTCCATGCTTCATTCCAATAAACACAAGATGTGTTTGTTTTCTTGTAGTGAATGGTTTTATCTTTGTTTTTCATTACTTCTTGTATCTGTTAGCTCCTTTATTGGAATGAAGCTTCAGTTTTTACTCCCAAAAAAAAAAAAATCTGAAAGGAAAGCCTGCAAAATTTCAGCACTTGTTGGAGGTTCTTCAATTCTAGTGGGTTGACCCGCGGGTCTGAAACGGGTTTTCGGACCCAACACCAGAAAACGTGATTTCGAGCAAATTTGAAGCAACCAAAAACATATTCACGATCCATAGAAAATTTCTAACAGGTATATGACACTTATTTGATTCAGAGACGAGCAAGATTCACAGATCAATGAACCAAAATTTACGTCTAAAACGAGTGGAACAGTGAGTGAGAAAGCAATCAAACACAGTGGAGATGTTAATAAACGCGCGGGGAAGCAAAACCACAAACCATAACATGTTGAAATTCTCATAGGCGATGTGAATTTTGGTCATGATACAAAGGCGAGATTGTGGAGACTAATGAAGACAGAAAACATCGAACATCATATAAATACAAAGCAGTCGGATCTACAACAAAGTTTGACGAAGGAACCAAACATACCTTCTGGGTTTCCTCATCTTCTTCCTCATCTGTCTGGAATTCTAATGTCTCTCTCTCTCTCTTCCCATCTTTCTCCTGTGTTTCGATCTCTCTGTTTCAGTCCCAGTCGATCACTTTTTCTGTTTCAGTCCCAGTCGATCTCTGTGTTTCTGTTACACTCTCTCTCCCCCAATTTGCCCTGTTCCGTGCGCCTCGTGCTTTATCACCCAAAATATCTCGTCTTCTCTCCTCAAATCTTTTTATTTATTTCCACGTGTCTCTTCCTTCGCTTACCATTCGGGGACCCGATTTTGCAAAATCCCACCACATAATTCTCTCTATGCTCTTCTTCCGTATTGTTCCTTTTGCTTTTCACAATTGTTTTGTTTCTTTATTTTATAACTCAAAAATTAACCTTAAAATAAAATTTGATTCCATTAAATTAAAATCATATCTCACTCTCACCTCTATCATTTTTTAAATAATACAAAAATAAATAAAGACATGTGAAAAGTTTTGTACGGATCATTCTTATATATTCTTTTTATATGATCAAATAACATAAGATTTAGGGAAAATGATACTAAAATTCCTTTAATGTATCTAAATAATATGTTGGTCTCTCAAAAGTCAAATTTCCCTTGATTAAAATAAAGATCTCAAGCCTCAAAATAGATACTAGCAAATTATTGTTGAATTGTTGCAATTTAAAAAAAACAGTTGTGAATATTAGAACAAATTTGTGAATGGCAATTGATATTTATAACATTTGAAGAATATCAGGATTTTAAATAAAAATTTGTGAATTGCTACTGAATTCTTGCAAATTTAAAAAGAAAAATTGTGAATCTTATAACAAAAATTATAAATGATAATTAATATTTGTAACACTTGAGGAATATCAGGATTTTAAATGTGAATTTGCAAATTGCTGCTAAATTCTTGTGATTTTAAGAAAAAAAAAGTTGTGAATCTTAAAAAACTTGCAAATTAAGGGCACAAAATATCTGTTTTGAGGCTTATGATTTTTATTTCAATTAAAGGCAATTTAGTCTTTTATATTAATTCTTTAATGATAAAAAAGCCCTTAAAGATTTTAGGAGAATTATGACATTTTGAGAGACTAAAATCTTCTTTATATAATTCAAAGAGATTTTATTTTTATTTTTTCCAAAATTTGTTCACAATTCCACGTGCTAAAATTATTTTGGAATTTTTAATTTTTTAAATTGGAAACTTGTTCGGTGCTGTATTTTAGATGTTCCTTTAATTTGCAAAATCCTGCCACAATAATTCTCGAAATTTGACTTACATTAAATTAAAAATGTATATCACGTTTATTATTTTTATGTATTTTTTTATCATTTTATAAATAATGCAATGATAAATAAAGAGATTTGGAGATTGTTATCAAGATAATTCTTAAATATTCTCTTTTATCCTTTGCTTGGCTCACAATAGAAAATAGGAAAGAGAAAGAATGTGAAAAGAGCAAATGAAAAGAAGAGAAAAGTAAATGGATGTAATTTTCTCTCATTATATGCTTGGCTGAGTGAGAAAAATAAAAAAAATAATTAATTTTATGTGAACAATAACAACCTCATTAGTATATAATAAAATTTACTATTTGACATATTTATTTATATAATTTTATTATATATTATTGATTAAATAAAAATATAATTGTAAATTATTTTATCCGATGCTAATGAAAGAAGATTTTGTCCAATTTTAATTTTTATTTCTTAAGTTATTAAATATATAATTATATAAATTCTAAAGTGGAGGAAAAACTAGAATGAAAATGGAGGGGGTGACAAGAAAGAAACAAAAAGATTCATGAATAAATTTGAAAATTAATTTTTTTTCTTTCAAAACCTTTCCATATTTAAAGTAGAAAAATTGAAGGTAAAAACATGTAGATCGCACATGTTATTTTTCTTCTAATTTTTTCTTCCCTTTTATTTTTATCCCCATAGACAAATGGAAGAAATTGTCATTTTCTCTCCACTTTTTTCTCTTGCCAAGCAAAACATTAGTATAATTGTATAAAATAAAATTTGTCCACTGACAATTTTGAATATTATATTAACCTTAATATTTCAATTCGTATCAATAAATAATATTAAGCAAAGTAATGTGTGCGTACCTGAAGAATTCATCACTGCTTGAGATACCTCGATTATCTCGAGTATATGCAGATGCACAACCCACTAGACTCTTTCAATTTTCAAAGAGTTTAGAGATAATGGAGAAAGTGAAAGTATCGTGTGCTTGTGGTTATCAACTGATTGACTTATATGAACCAAATCAATAACCACTTTAATAAATTAAATTAATTAATTATTTCATATTATTTTTGACTCAGTCGGTTAAGAGATAGAAAATAACTAATGGCTACAAGGATATAGGTTGGACCTTTGCCTATTGGATTTACTTGTGTGATTCACCTAGCACGATTTACACAAGATCATAAAGATCAATTTATTTGGACTTCATTAACTAATGCAAATCCATAATATTTATAAATATTCTAACAATCTCTTACTTAGATTGCATTAATTAAGCAAATTGTACAAACAAGCTAAAAAAATTCAAAAAATAAAACTTCACAAAGTCACTAGATCTTATGAGGCAATAAGTGATATAATGCCTTATAATTTGAATAGAACAGAATATGAAATTTTATTCCAAATACAATTCAATAAAATAACAATATAAATCACTGATTCTTATGAGAAAACAAGTGATATGCATAGCGTACCACAACAGAATCATTAAATCCTATAGGAATAAAAATAATATAGACGCATTTAACTGAACTGAACTAAACATAACTCATAGAAGAAAAACAAAGCTTAAAGAGAAATTGCAATACAAAAGATCCTCAGACTCCTACTAAACTAGGGAACCAAAAGAATTTACAAAACTCATACAAGTTACATGATTTTAAAAAACTCTTACAAGTATGCCCTTGGTCAACAAATCTACAAGCATCTACATGTCAGGAATGTGTATCACATGGGTTTAAGATTCAACAATTTTCTCTTTCACAAATATAAGTTTGATACCAACATGCTTTGTAGGACTGAAATTTCTGTTGTTATTAGCATAGTATATTATAGATTTGTTATCACAATAAATGGTTAGAGGACGTGATATTGACTCAACTAGGTGCATGCCAAATATCAACTTTCTTAGTCATATAACTTGACATGTGGTCTCAAAACAAACAATATACTCAGCTTTCATAGATGAAATTGATGTAAATGTTTGTTTCACACTTTTTCAAGAAACAACTCCTCTAAACAACATGAAAATGTAGCCGGTCATGGACTTAAGATTATCCAGACAGGAGCCAAAATCTAAATATGAAAAGCCAACAATTTCAAGATCTTCTAATCTTTTAAAATCAAAATCAAAATACCCAATAACCTTAAGAGAATCTGACCTTTTGCAGGTTAACATATAATTCTTTATACCTTGAAGATACCTCATAACTTTCTTAAAAAATTTTTAATAATCTGAACTTGGATCATTTAAGTATCGACCTATCATTCCAATAACAAAAGCTATATCTGGTCAAGTACACACCTGAACATACATAAGGCTGCTAATAGTAGAAGCATATGGTATCTTTCTTATTTCAGCCCTCTTTTTATCATCCTTAGGACATTGTAATTCTGACAATGGTTCACCTTTTTGAACAGGAGCAAGTGAGGGAGAACATGAATCCATTTTAAATTTTTTAAGTACCCACTCAATATAGGTGGTTTGTGATAAATCAAGAACACCATAAGATCTATCACAATGAATCTATATCCCAAAAATGAAAGAGGCTTCAGCTATATCCTTCATGTCAAAATGGCTAAACAATAGATGTTTTATCTCATTGAGAAAATCCATTGAATTATTGGCTAATAAGATATCATTAATATAGAAAACAAGAATGGAAAAATTGTTTCTATTAAACTTCTGATAGATACACTGATATGAGACATTCTCAATAAAATTGAGTGAGATAATAACTTCATCAAACTTCAAATACCATTGCCTAGAGGCTTGTTTTAGCCCATATATGGATCTTTTCAATTTTCACATTAGATGTTCTTTACCATATTCAACAAAAACCATCAAGTTGTGTCATGTAGACTTTTTTATATAAATTTCCATTTAAGAATGTATCTTGACATCCATCTGGTGAAGATCAAGATCAAATTGTGCAACTAAAACTATTACCACAATAAAAGCATCTTTGGTGGATACAAAGTCTCTTTGTAGTCAATACCATCTTGTTGGATGTAGCATTTTGGTAAAGAACATGATAAGTAGAGCTTCTACCCTCATCAATAATATTAGGTCTTATATTATTTTTGTATTACGAATCTTATATTGACAAATATATTTTATTTTGAATCCCACACCTATTTTTTATGGGACACACATGATATATTAGTTTACAAGAATTATATTTAAAAAAGAATTATTTTTAAAAAATATATATGATCATGAGAAATGGCATACTTTAGTTTTAAATAAAAAAGAAAGGGAAATGGAATACTTTTGGAACCAACAATCATGACAAACAAATATAAAATATAATATACTTCTTAGCTCAGTTAGTTAATTCAAAAGAAACTCTATGAAGGTGGCTCAAAATAAACCTCACAAATATTTTAAGAGTTAGAGGGATACCATGATGTGTCTTGTTCAGAGACCCATTACTACTATGGCTCAAAGCGAAAGGGTGAACTAAAGAAGGAGGCTAGGGTTTGTTTTGAATTGATAATTTTATTGCCTGGAATGAGTGAGATAGATCGACAGAGCCTCAGTTTTATTATTCAATTATTGTATCCCATAACATTTTGCTACCAACATATATGTCACATAAAAGGGCCAACACTTATTTAAGGGCTACGTAATACTTAATAGTGACAGTGGCACTATTTAATGATTTTTTAATTTAAAAAAATATAAGCATTATTTATATATTTATACTAGTATTGGCAAAATAACATCTCTGTGTGGCCAGAATCCAATAATTTAAAATAACATCGAAATAACATATTTATACGATATTTAGTTTATTTATTTTAAGTCTATGACAAGTGAAGAGTAGAGGCTTAGTAAAATTTATACTAGTTATTTAGATGGAGGTCTAGAGTTGAATATCATTTAAGTCAAATGTTAGTTTTATTTTT